CATTATGTTTTTGGGGGCCATAATGCCTCTTGGATTCTGCAACTTGGCTGCTGGCTGCCCAGCTGACAGGGTTAGTCCTGACCCAAGGGGAAGGGGTGGGTGAGAAGCCAGCAGGTGGCTCAGTGGGCTGAGCACCGCCATGCAGAAATTGATTTTTAGAGTCAACAGATCCCAGGGAATTTTTCATGAAACTTGGCACTGATTCTGACACGTGAAAGAGTAAAGAACTGAGAAAAGCCACGTTTCTCCAAAAAGAACATTGTCCTTCCAGATGACACTTAACTGTAAATCTATAGCATAGACAATGTGGTGTAGTTCAGGGTAGACAAAGAAATAAATAGAACTAGATATGAGCCTTGCATATATAAATGTATTCATAATAAAGATATCCTCTCATATAATGGGAAGAATAGTGGATGATTTAATAAACGATGACTGTTGACTATGTAGTTTTTTTTTGTGTGTGTGAGACAGGGTCTCACTATGTAGTTGAGACTGACCTGGAACTCACTAAGTAGCCTAGGCTGGTCTCAAACTCACAGCGATCCTCCTGCCTCAGCCTCCCAAGTGCTGGGATTACAGGCGTGCGCCACCATGCCCTGCTCGACTATGTAGATTTTTAAAACCATGAAATCAAATGCCTGTTTTATGTTATACACACAAATGAATGCCATGAAAATTAAAGTCTTCAACATAAAAAAACTTAAAAATTTTAGAAGAGAATATGAGAATAAGAAAGGATTTTTTAAACAATACTCAAGAGGAATAAACGATAAAGGAAAAATTATATATGTTGTTGCAATAGCATTAAAATTTTCTGTCAGTTAGGAAATACTTGCAAAGAAGGTAAAAGAGAGACTACAAATTGTGAGAAACAGATCTTAAGATGTTAGGTGGAATGTAAAGAAATATATATTTTCCAAAACATGCAAAGGAGAGCCAGTGGCATCGAGGTTCTTTTGGAACTGGAGTAAATATGGGCTAAAAAATAAATAAATAAATAAATAAATAAAGGGAAAATCAGTTTCAGTTGTATTCTAAACTGCAGGAGAGGGACCACCTCTCTCTTTTTGGGCAGAAGACTGAGAAAGTAAAACAAAGGGCTCAGGGGTAGAAGTGGAAAAGTGATGGTTACAGTATTAATTCCATGTCAGTACTGGACAAGACGCCAATGAAACGCGCTCAGGTGATCAATCAGCAATGGGACACAGCCATGTAGGCTGATAGTCTCCTGGGTGGAAAAGAGATCAACATACCAGAAACCTGACGAGGAAATAGGCACAGTGAAAATGAGACAGAGAGTGATTTCCTGCTGTGAAGTAAGATTTCTGGGGTGAGGCAGGAGGGTCACAAGTTTGAGGCCAGCCTGGACTCCGTGGCAAGACACTGTCTCAAAAAACAAAACAAAACACAATGTGAGATTTCTAGCTGGGTTGCATTCCTAGGCCTGGTGATTAAGCACGATAACTTTTCCTCTTTCCCCCAACTCTCAACAAGACAACAGAGAACATCTACTCTGAGAATCTTTGCAATATGAAACAGGACAAAAAGAACTTGCAAAGGGCTAATGTTGTAATAGGAAGTAACAGTGGTGTAGAAGGTTTCACAAGAGAACGTGCCTGGCTGTATTCGGTTTGCCCTCCGTGAGCTCCAGAGTCTTGGTGGCTGTGATGAATCTTGCCTGAGATGGGGATTTCATTTGGCCTACACCAGAGGGTTTTTGAGGAGAAGGAAGATGGGCTGAACATGGAGGTCCTGTATCTGGAAAGGCCTACATCAGTGGTTTTCAGACCAGCAGCAATAGCATGGGAACTTTTTAGAAATTCAGAAAACTTGGGCCCTTTTACAAATCTGTTGAACCAGAAGTTCTTGGGGTGGGGCCCAGTAATGTGTTTTAACAAGCCTTTCTGGTGAGCACACTGGCGTTTGAGAACCACTGTCCTAGATGTACTATTTTAAATTGTCAATGTAAGCAGGTGTAACACTATGTAATTACGTGCAGGCACTGCACATTGAGCTGCTGTTAACTGCTGGTTCCTTTTGCATAGAAGGTTGGTGACAATCTTTTGTAACGCTTACTTTTCGAGACATTTGTTTTGGTTCTCTTCTATGCCCTCTTCTATTGGTCTTATGGGAACAGACAGCAAAACAACTGAGGAATTTTTATAGCAGTGTAGAGGATTCAAATATCCTGTTGTGCTCTTCCAAAGCAAGAATCGCGTCATAGTCATCTTTTCCCTTCTCATAACAGCTTTATTCAAATACAGTTCATGTCCCATACAATTCACCCATTTAAAGTGGTTCCCCCAATTCAGCGGTTTTTAGTGTATCCACAGAGTTGTAAAACCATAAACATAATTTTAGAATATTTTCATCATTTTACGGGGAAACTCATACCTGTGAGTAATCAATCATTCCTTGTTTCCTCCCAAATCCTCCAGCTCTAGGGTACTACTCATGTATGTTTTGCTCCTGTAGATTTGCCTAAACTGGCCATTTCATGCAATGCCACATGGTGTGATGTTTTGTGACTGGCTTCTTTCATTCAGTGCACTTACTATTTCCAAAGTTCACCCATGCTGTAGCACCTCTCAGAACTTCTTTCTTGTCACTTGCTTAATATTCTCTTATATGGATATATTACTTGGTTTACCCCTTCACTAGTTGATGGACATTTGGATTATTTTCACTTTTTCATTATTATCATTAATTCTGCTATCAACATTTAAGTACCAGTTTTGTGTATCTGTATATTTTCACTTCTCTTGAGTATGTGCCTAAGTGTGATACTTTTAACCTTTCGAAGAGCTGTTTTCCAAAGTGGCTGCACCATGATCTCTCAAGCAGTAGTTCCCTGAGCAAAAACATTTTGTTTTTCCTCTGCTGTAAATGATCTGCTATGAATTCCAGTCCCAATTCTCTATGAAAATTCCTCCGTAATATTTTGCCCTTGTTATTTTCTTTGTAAACTATCAAAACTATTTATGCCACACATGTTTAGGATTGAGTAAAACACAAGCATTGGCTAATGCTTTGTATTTTGAGTGACACCATAGTTGCTGCAGAATTCATCAACAACGTCTACTCTACCTTTAGTTTTGCTGTAGAAAGTTTCCATCTCAGGCTTCCATTTTGTTGAGGTTTCACTATCAATATTTCCATCATGGTGTAATGCTGACATCAGCAGTACCAGTTTGCTTTTCTTTGCCCTATTGGAGACCAATGCAAATCTTTCTGAAATCCAAGGTTTGTACTATACAATTCTCTGTTTTCAAATTGCAACATTTTACTTGGAATTTCTGCTTTATTCTTGTGTATAATTCCTGCACTAGTCAACTTGTGCTCTGTTAGAAAATGTAACATTGATTGGAAATCGGTAAACCAATTATTGATTGTCATATTCCAGTTAGTTTGGGAGATGGGAGGAACAAGTCTGTTCATAGCATCATTTAGTTTATTATTATGTGAATAAGAACCCTGTAGTTAAGGTCCAGGATAAATTTCTAAGTTGAAAGCATAATAAGTCTTTGCATATACAAGGGCATAAGTTTTTATGCCATATTTTGACCCATAATTTTTAAGTCCTTTACATTCCATTCCTGCAATTACCATGAGACATCCCTGATAATTATGTCAGACTTATGAATGCTTTCATTTTGGTTAGTAAGGTGTCATAACAAAAACATTTTTGAATACGGCTATTGGTGCATACAGAACATTTTACTTATATTTCAGCCTTCGCGTCTTTCACATCATCTTGCACTATTTCATCTGTTACAACTTCCAACATTGAATGGTAGTGCTGGCATTCAGTCCAATAGATCCTGCCAAGATTCTCCCTGTATTTTCAGACCTAGTTCTAGTATTGGATCATTTCATTTGGTTTCAATACCACTTTGCAACATTTCAACGAGTCAAATATGCACTCATTTGCTGCTTTCTTTGTTATCTGAATCAAGGAGGTCGGCACGCCCTTTGCCTGTATCAGTTGAGTCTTGCTCCATTTCACTATCGCAGGAACATTGGTTCACATGACCAATGTCAAAGTCATCACCTCCATGACCATCATCATCATCATCATCATCATCATCCACCCACACCACTCTTCTGTTATGAAAACATGTATTTTACCATAAGGGTTCATCTTCATCAACCATGCACAGGTAACCTGATGATTCACTTTTGACCTCTTCCAAAACTTGCAAATCTGGTTTTTCATATGCCGTTGTACTGAATTACATTACCTCTACCAGAAAAATCAAAGAAAACTTTGTTTTAAAACAAATCCTACAGTGAGGTGGGTGTACTATACTCTCTGTGATGTTCAGGTAAACATACACAAAACCTGTTAGAGCATCATGTGGGTGAAGATCACAGTTTGACACATGTACATACCTTGCCATTCCTTGTACCAAGTGGGTAAACACAAAGATTGCTTCCTGTGCACAGCTGGATACTATTAAGCTAAAGTAAAAATTTACAGTAGAAAAGTAAGGAGCGCGTTTGTGAAACCCAGTATTATGCTCATAGAGTTTTCACTGCTTTCTTTTTTTTTTTTTTTTGCCATTGAAAGATTTCCAATAGTCTAATTGCTTTTGTAATTTGTGAGTAATCTGCTTTTCTGTTTTTATCTTTGAGATCCCTCAACCTTTGCTGCTCTGCAGTCTGATAACGATGCTATCTGAATATGGATTTATTTATCCTGTTTTCATCTCATTACCTTTCTTTTTTTGCAGTTTTTTTCATTACTAATTTTATTGGTACATGTTTTTGAGAGATCCCCTCAAATCTATCTTTCAGTTCAGTAGTTGTCTTATCAGCTATATCTAATCTGGTACAAAGTTTAAAAAATTTTTGAGGGGGTACCATTTTCTTTATTTGAAGTAATTAAAGAACTTAAGTAGATCTGGTGCAATGTATAAAAAAGGCAAAGGTACCCTAGTTGCCCTGGCGAAGTCAGCCCAGGCTTAGCTCTGGTCACTGTCCCCAGGGTGTGCTTGTCAAAGAGATGCTCTGCCATGCTGGACTTGGGGGAGCCCCATCTTGGGCAGGTTGGTCACGTGGTCACCCAGCTGTTTGATGAGCTTCACCTGCTTGTCCAGGTAGTGAAGCTCGACAAAGTCACACAGGTGGGGGTCATTCTCGTCAGTGGCTAGCTTGTGCAGCTCCAGGAGTGACTGGTGCACGCTCTTCTCCAGGTGCAAGGCGCACTCCACCGCGTTCAGCCTGCTCTCCCAGTCGTCAAAGTCTGGTTTCTTGATGTCTTGAAGGAAGATGTGGCCACCGCGCTGGTTCTGCAGCTCCGTCAGCTTCTCGGTGCGCAAACTCTCCTTGTGAGATGGGTGGAGAAAGTACTCGGCCATTTACACATGTGTGATTTATTTATTTCACTCAGGGTTAGGGCGAAGTCAAAGTCGTAACACACAGCCAGGTAGATGGAGGAGCGGTGGAGCTCCAGGTTGCTCTGGCGGTGTGTGGCGGCCTCCGCGTCCTGGTGGTAGTTCTGGGGCACCTGCGAGGGTGAAGAGGGCTTCATGGCAGCGGCAGGCCACGAGGCTGCTCCATCCAAGCATCTGTTGGAGCAGGAGGCCACAGCGACGCTCACCAGTAGGACTGTAAGTAAAATATCTATTAAGGTACTGATTTTCTCTTTTGCTCCTTGACATAGCCTTGGTGCCTGCCTCCTATAATGCATCCAAGTAAATCTGCAAAATTATTCAATAAATAAATGAGCAAATGTATTTTTTAAATTTTTAGAGCTATGTATGTCAGATTTGCCTGTTAATTTCCATAATCTTGTATTGTGTTTTCAGTTTTTCCTATTGGCTCTGTTCACTCACTTGTTTTATGTCCTGTATACAAAATGTCTATGATTTGAAGTTCTTGAAATATAATCCTGCTATTTCTCATAATTGCATACATTGGTGGCTGATTAGTGTTTTGCACGTAGCCTCATCTTCAGTGTAGTTTTATTTGTGAGGCACTTATGCTGCTTGAGTTGTGTGCACTTTAGCTTCCAGAAAGGTTTTCACTTTTGCTAGGTGCCAGAGGGATACTGAAGGCCAAGGATCATTTTGAAATATTTATATTTAAACCATAGGAAGCATGACTGTGAAATTCCAAAGAGTGTACACGTGATATTACCTTTCCCAATACTAACATACATGTCTGAGAGGAATTTCAAGTGGAAAAGTGTCATGATTTAGATTTTTAAAAAAATATGCCCCCAAAGTCTCATATGTTTAGAGGTCAGGCTTTCAGAAGGTGATTGGATTATGAGGATGCTGTCTGTATTCATCAGTGGGTTGCTCCACCGGTGAGTTGATGGCTGTGTGTGCTGGTGGGGGTGCTTGTTGGAGGTGGTCACCTGGGAGTGGGACCTGGATTCTTGTCCCTGACTCCTTCCTTCTCTCTCTGCTTCCTGATTGCCATCAGGTGAGCAGTTTTCCTCTGCCAGGCCCTTCCACCATGCCATTTTTGCTTTGAAGGGAACCAACCATGGACTGAATCTCCCAAAGCATGAGCCAAAGTAACGGTTATTAGTTGAGCATTGGGTATTTTGCCTCACTGGCCCAAAAGTGACTAATACAAAAGGCAAAGAGGATATTAAATCACAATTCACAGTTCAAGGCATACTATCCTCACTGTTCCATAGATGATTTGCTTTAAAAATAATATAACAACCATGTACAATGTCAGGACCCAAGACAAAAGCTCTAACAACACTGACAATAACCTATATCTAATCTGTGATTTTTTTTCTGTACCTTTTTGTGTTTCTGAGGTAACAACTATAAACTATATTTATCACTTCTTTACATATCCATATATAATCTATAACCTTTAAAGGTTTTCATTTAATACTCTGTTGCTAAATTCACTTATATTGTCTCCCGTCACTACAGTTCATTAATTGTAACTGCTATGTAATATTTCATTGCGTGAATATAACAAGTTAATATTTTCCATTATCCCACTGAGGAACATTTGAATTTTTCAGAGAGTTGCTATTGCGACCAATGCTGCTATGAACATTCTTACTCACCTTGTTTGTTGTTCATGTGCAACTGTCTGTTTGGGGCATTTACATCCAAGAGACATTTGTGGGTCATGTAGACTGTGTGGATGTTTCAGTTTAGGAGGTAATACCAATCCTTTCTCTGAGTGGCTGCACGCATTGGTGTTCCCACTAGTGGTATATAAAACACCCACTAGTGGTATATAAAACAAAGTCCTGAAGGTCCACTTCTCTTCTTTCATGTTCACGATCATGGTTAAACATTTTTTAAAATCAGGAACTCATTATACATTATGTTTTACTCTGGTCCAAGAACTATAAAGGTAGAGAGAACTTAGACCCGTGATTCATGGGGTAGTAGGTATAGGTTACAGATGTTGGGGCTGAGACGTAGGTCAGCAGAGCACTTGCCTGACGTGCCCAGTATCTCAAACTCAATCCCCAGTACTGGAAAAGAAAAAAAAAAAAAAAAAAAAAAAAAAAAGAGAAAATTCTCAGGAGAGATATTTTTTCCTTACAAGGACACAAGCAAGCAAAGACAGATGAATTCCTATGTGACAAGCAGAACACTGCTTTCTAGTCAACGCTTACACTCCTAATGCTTAATTCTGAGGGGCACAAACCTTCTCTTTATTCATTGAGATATGCTAAAAACCACATCCTTAGGTTACAGAGGCAGAGCTCCCAGGAAAGCCTTAACTTCTGCTTGTCATTATTGGTCTGGTTATCTTTGTCTTTGTTCTCTGGTGATTTCTTTTTTTCTTTCTTTTTTTACTTTTCTGTTAGTTCAGTCATGCATTTAAAAGAATATTTATTACGCATTTCCCCAAACCTTTAGAAGTCTTACAGTGGAAAGAAATTATTTCAGATGATCTAGTCTTCCATTTCTGGAGCTGGAAATCTCAGTGGTTCTCCCTCATTGCTGAGCTACCAGAGCATAGAATCCCTGCCATGCAAGGATTCTTGGCAGTTTGCACTCAGTCACTGCACTGAGGGTGAGGTCCCTGTGCCATGGGAAATCGTCTCTTTCCATGCTGGGTTGCTCTGTATCTGGGCCTCTGCCATGTGCTCTACTGTAGGAGAGAATCTGCTCCATAGATAGCTCTATGAATCACTTCCAAATTCTTTCCTACCATGCTCAGGCTGGTGACCCCTGACCTACTTTGTATCCCCTCGTCCTCTCTCCCGGGAGCTCTTCACCCACCTCCAATTTCCTAATTTGAGAACTGGGTCAATGATTGTCCATAATGTTTGGACTTGGAAATTACTAATAAATCTAGGTTAGTGGTGAACTGTAGTGATTGGGTGGAGACGGTAAAGAAGCCATCTTTTTGATAGGGTGGGAGTTCAGGAAAGTGTCTACCTAGGAAACTGCAAAAAAGAGGTGGAAATAGTAGAAGTAACAGATGGAACACTTATCTGTTCTATGAGGTGGGGATTGGTATTTATCATAGCCGCTGTACTGGTAAAAAAGAGTGGGCTGTCAGAAAAATTAAATGACTTGCTCAGTCATCCAGTTAGGAAGTGGACTAAGTTGTGCCAAGACTGAGGCCTCACATCCTCTTTTTTTTTTTTGCTTCCTCACATTCTCTGGTAAAGTGGGATATTATACAAAATACTACTGTGGCAACTTTGAAACTTGGCCACAGATTCAGACGCTTGTTTCATCAAGAGATGAGGAGAACTGTGACCATCACTTTGACCAACAGAATGAGATGGGACTGACGCTTGGTAACTTCCAAAGCAAGATCCCCAAAGGCTGCGTCTGCCTGTTGCTCTCGGAACACTCACTTTTATCTGGCTTTGTCTGTTCATTGACTCAGTCTTCATTGCTATAGGGACTTCAGAAATCTTCTTGCCCAATAATCTCATTTTACAATGAAGAAACTGAGGCTCAGATTGGAGTGGTTTATATAGCAGAACTTACAAGGCAGTTCTTGGTATTGCGCCCGCACTCAAAGCCAACTGCTGGTGACACTGAATAGACCTGACAGCCCTACTGACTACAAAAAGCATTCAATGTTCCTTCTCTCCAATGACAGGAATCTACAATGTAGGATCATAACCTCAATCTGCATAGTGTCATCACTTACGTGGAGGAGGAGATGCAAGGGACTATTTCCAATATGTACCGAACTCACCAGCAGCCTTAAATCTCTGAGGGCTCAGGATGAAATGTATAAGTTTCCAAGGAAGAGTCTTGGGAGGACCTGTAGATCCTGATTTCATCATTGAAAACTCAGAGGGAAAAAAAAGATACCAGCGATCTTCTCAGTACCATCCTATTTTTGTTCACTGAAAGGGAGATGCTATCCAGTCCACAAGGGCAAATAAGAGAGATCTGGGGATGAAGAGAATGTGAGGAATGAATTTCTTAAAGCTGGAAATTGTGTCAGGGTATGGGAGGCACACAGGCAAGAGGGGCGATGACTAGAAGTGGTGTTTTCTCGGGAAGACTGGTTAGCCTGGGGACTGAGTAGTTCAGGAATCAACTGATTGGGCCAGGGATTTAGCTCCATGGTTCCACCATCTGCCTTGAGAGTGCAAGGTCCCGAGTTTGATCCCCGGTACCAGAAAACAAATATCAATTGATTGAACAAAAGACATAATACAGTAATATTGATGTGCAGGAATATATAAGGCTTATTCATTGAGGAATTGTTTGCATAAAAGCCTAAGAAAATTAGTCATAGCTTTTAGCATCTCTCATAGTGGAATATTATGTAGAGAGTAGTCAGGTTAGTGCAATTCTAGATTATCATGAAAAATTTTCTATAAGTATTTTTTAAAGAAAAATACATCATGTATATGAAATAGTAGCTCATATGTGCATTAGTCCATTTTCTGTTGCTATAACAAAATACCTAAAGCCAGTACTATTTTTTTTAAGTTTAAATACACTTTACTTTTAGACAACCTACATGACATTTTTTTCCTCTAAAAAACAATGCCTCCACTCCAAATAAATCACTGTCAAAATAAACGAAGCATTCAAGATGACACCAGTCCCATTTGTCTAAAATCCTGGGGTTGTGTGAATAAAAAGTAGCAGCCAGTTATGACAAGTGATAGATCCAAGGTAACTGCGAATCTGCTAACATTTTTCCATTTCTAAACCATCCTTAAGGAAAATCAGAAATGGAGTCACCCCGTGGTAGTCCAGGAGAGCAACCTCGCCATCTGAAAATTTTTGAAATGACAAAGGACGTGCTCGATTTGTTTGCAGCCCCTGGCATGCAAAGTTTTACTCTTTCTGGTCTTTGTTTTTCAAGTTTGCCTTTGATTGAGTTCATGTAATCATTGAGGTACTTCTTGTAGGCCCTTTTTTGTGAAGCTGGTTTCCTGCAGGTGATGGTTCCTGACAATATCAATGCCAGTGACTACTGCGCTTTCAGTACCTTTTGTCCTCAGGGCCTTCAGCAGTGGCATTTCCACCAATGAGCGAGTCATCAGTGTCACCTTCTGTGCTACTGACCTTCTTGCCCTCCACCTCCAGCCACAGCCTGTCCGTGGTCTCCTGGATCTTGTAAATGTTGGGGAACATCTCATCGTGGCTGA